AGATGCATGGAGGGAATTGTAACCATGGCAATGAAACAATATACAATAGGATGAATGTAAAACTAATGTTCTCCCATGTAAACTATCAGATAATTCACAATCAAACATTAAAAAAATAAAAGCATAGTAAAGTTTGTATATATTTTTGCACAGGTTAGTAACTTTTTTTTTTACAACAACAACAACAGAAAAAAAATTCAGTAAAGCCGTTACAGATTGAAACTTATGAAAAATCTATTCTGGACAATCCCTATACCTGTGGATGCGATTGCACTTGGATCAGGGTTTTCTGTTAGGTCAATGGGATCATATCAGCATTATTGCTGTTAAGTGCTGTTGAGTTGGTTCTGACTCATAGTGACCCTGTATAGGGTTTCCAAGGAGCAGTTGGTGAGTTTGAACTGGTAACTTTGTGATTTAAACTAATTTGCATGTCTTTTTAAAAACCTTATTTATTGTGAATTGGGTGAACATATGTAGAGCACCAAATCATCAGCTTTACATCAAAAAATTCACACATATTTTATCGTTTCATTGACTAGAATCCTTTCAACGTAATGTAACTTCTCCCATTTCTTTGTGTTTTCTGTTTCCATTCCTTCTTCTTTCCTAACACTTCTGAACTTTGTCCTTCAGTAAATGCTGCCCTTTTGATATCAAATGGTTGATTATTCTAAGGTGTCCGTACCGCCCTAGCGCTATTGTTTCCCGTATAGCCTGCCTATTGTCTGACTGAAAATGGAGCCATGGAGGTAAGTCCAGAACTAAACTTGAAAGAGTATAATGGTCACAGTCTTGGGCTTTTTCCAGTCTCTATCAGACTAGCAAGTCTGGTGAGGGTGTTTTTTTTTAAAAACAAGTTTAAGCTTTGTTGTATATTTTCCTCCCATTCTAACTGGCATCTTCTATTGTTTCCCTGATCAGAATGGTCAGTCGGGGTAGCCAGGCACTGTCTTGTTTTTTTGGTCTGAGACTATTAGGATGCTATGGTTCATGTGAGCTTGTTGTCTTTTGGACTAATTACTTCCTTGGATCTTTGGTTTTCTTCACTCTTCCAGGCAGGCAGAGATCAATAGTTGTGTCTTAGGAATATCGATCACAAACCTTTGAGACTTGGTTGCTACTCATGAAACTATACTTGTTGTGAAGTGCCATGGAGTCAGTCCAACGCCTAGCAACCCTGCCTGCACAGGCTTTAAATCTTCACAGGAGCACAAAGTCTCAGCTTTTGTCCATGGAGTGGCTGGTGGGCTTGAACCACAAGTCTTTTGATTTACAGTCCTGTGCTTCTTGTATGGAGCCCCCACACTCCTCATATTTATCATGGTGTGGGTGGTTGTTTCTCACTCATGGAGACCCTCTATAGGGTTTCCGAGGCTATAAATCTTTATGGGAGCAGACAGCCTCATCTTTCTCCCATGGAGCAGCTGGTAGATTTGAACTGCTGACCTGTGGTTAGCAGTCCAACCTGTAATCTACTGCACTACCAGGGCTCCCTATATTAACAATTGCTGTTAAGCGCCCTCAAGTCAGTTCTGACTCAGAGTTGTCCTGAATTCCTGTGTACGTGTCAGAGTCTGTCTGTGTCTTGGTCATGTTGTGTTGACTTCCCCCATATTGTGTTTTGTTTTTCTCTTTATCAAAATTAACACATGCCTACACTGGACTGCAAAGGAGCTCTGGTAACGTAGTGATTACAAGTTGGGCTGCTAATCTCACGGTCAGCAGTTCGAAACTATCAGCTGTTCCATGGGAAACAGATGAGGCTTTCTGCTCCTGTAAAGATTTATAGCCTTGTAAACCCTGTACTCGGTCGCCATGAGTTGGAACCAACTCCACGGCACAAAAGCACATAACAACAACACTGAACTGCAAGGTTGGTTTGAATCACAAGTGTGGTATTTCAGACTCTCCTTGGAAACCCTATACAACAGGGTCACTATGAGTTGGAATTGACTCAACAGCACTTAACAACCACAGTAATGTTGTCTAGGTAGTGGTTCTCCCCCTTCCTTATCATATCCCTGACAATCATCAAAGAATGTGTCTTTCTATGTGTACACCTATTCTTGTCTTTTAATAGTAGTTGTGTACAATATTTGTCCTTTTGTGATCTGACTTACTCATTTAGCAAAAGGTCTTCCAGATTCATCTATTTGTGAGATGTTTTGTGGATTTGTCATTATTCCTTATTGTTGGGTAGTATTCTTCTGTACGAGGGGACTTCAAAAAGTCTGTGGAGAAATTCCATTATCTTTTAGGTCCATTTTCCCACAAACTTTCTGAAGCTCCTCATGTGCATGAATCCAACTTTATTTATTCATTCATCTGATGATGGACATTTAGGTTGTTTCCATCTTTTTGCTATTGTGAATAATAATGCAAAGGCATGTCTATTCATGTCATAAATGTTACTTTTCTAGGATGCATACCTAGGAGTGGAATTGCTCTATCACATGATATTTCTATTTATAGCTTTTAAAGAAGCGCCATGCCATTTTCCATAGCTGTATCATTTTACAGTCCCACCAGCAGAGTATGAGACTTACAATCTCCTCATGTCCCTACAACCTCACTAACATTTATTGTTGTTACTGTTCTTTTTTAATCAGTACCATTATGACCAGAGTGAGACGGTATCTTCACATTGTAGCTCTGATTCGCATTTCTCTAATGGATAATGATTGTGAGCATCCCTTCATGTGTTTGTTAGCCACCTGAATATCTTCTTTGGTGAAATGTGTGTTAAATATTGTACTGGTAACCCTCGCTACAACAATAAGACCAAAAAAAAAAAAAAAAAAAAAATTAGTAAGGAAGAAGTAAAACTATCTATTCACAGATGAGATGATCCTATACATAGAAAATTCCAGGGACTCCAAAAAGCAGTTAATGGAATGAATAGAAGGCTTCAGCAAAATGGCAGGTACAAGATTAGCAAATAAAAATCAGTGGTATTCTTCTACACTAATAAAGAAAACTCTAAAAAGGAAGTCAAGAATATAGTACTATAATATTTATAAATAGCCTTCACAAGCGTGAATCTACCTAACTCGGGATATAAAAAAGTTACACAGAGAAAACTACAAAACAATACTCCAAGAAACCAAAAGAGACCTACATACATGGAAAAACATTCCATACTCATAGATAGGAAGAACTTAACATTGTGAAAATGTCACAATGTGATCTATAGATATACTGCAAATTGCAATCCAAATTCCAACAGCATTCTTCAAAGAAATGGAAAAACTAATCACCAAGTAGCTAGTCCTAGTGTGGTGCTATAGGATAAGCACTGGACCGCAAGGTTGGTTTGAACTGCAGAACAAACTAGGATGCCTCACATTTCCTGACTTCAGAACCTACTACACAACCACGGTTGTTAAAACAGCCTGGTACTGGTCCAATGACGGATACACAGATCAATGGAACAGAATTTAGAATCCAGAAATAAATTCCTAAAGACACAGACAGTTAATCTTCAACAAAGGGTTGTTGTTGTTGTTAGTGTTGCCGAGTCAGTTTCGACTCATAGCAACTGTGTATAGGGTTTCCAAGGAGTGGATGGTGAGATTGAACCGCTGACCTTGAGGTCCAAACCTTGACTTTTGGTCCAGTGCTTATCCTATAGCCCCACACTCAACAAAGGAGAGAAGTCCAATGAATGGGGATGAAACAGTCTCTTTAACAAATCTGTTGTTAATTTAAGTGCTGTTGAGTTGGTTCAACTCATTAACGACCTTGTATAGGGTTTCTGAGCAATAACTGGTAGGTACGAACCATTAACCTTGCAGTTAACAGTCCAGTGCTTATTTTACAACACCTCACCAGGACTCCCTTTAACAAATGGGACTGGAAAAATTGGATATACGTTTGCAGAAAAATGAAACAGGACCTTACATCATACACAAAAACTCAAAATGGATCAGACCTAAATTTTAAACCTAAAACTATAGTAAAGTTCATGGATGGAAAAATAGGGACAACACTAGGGGCCCTAATCTACGACATACATAGAATATCAAACATAACTAAAATGTATAAAAACACAAGATAAACTAGGTAATAGGGACCTCCTAAAAATTAAATATTTGTACTCATTAAAAGAATTAGCAAAGAGTGAAAAGACAGCCTAAAGAGTGAGAAAAAATTTTGGGCAACAACATATCTGACAAGGGCCTAATTCTCTGAAATTTATAGAAAAGCTCAACACTGCAACAACAAAAAGACAATTTAAAATGGGCAACGGATATGAAGACATACTTTTCATAAGAATATATTCTAGTGGTTATGATAATTCTTTTAATACTTAAGTCTTAAGACCTAAAAACTACATTACAGTTTTGGGTGAAACCAAATAATAATATCCTTACATTTAATACAATGCCATACTCTGAGTACTTACTTAGAAAAAGAAGAGATTTTGACACAACTCTATAATTTAAGAATAAATAGTCATGACATATGCACCAAGCTTTATTTGCCTTTTAAATACATAAATAGAACAAATATGCTATTTTAAATGTTAGATTGTCTTGAATTTAACAGAAGGAAAAGAAACTGAAGTGAAACTGTAGGAATTGCTGAACTTCAGATAAATGTTTCTTCAAAACAAGAGATACTAGTTCCTAAAAGATTCCTCTAAAGTTAAAAAAAGATTAAGAGAAACATTAAGCCATTGGGTTATTACTATTTTAAAATCTACATGTTTCTTAATGGACATATGTTTACATTCACAGATATTAAACTTAGTCTCCTGTCTCATAAAACTCAGAAGACACCACTAATGTTTAAATGTAGCAAAACAATAAGTCACAATTATATGTTAAAAAACTTTAAAAGCTTAAATCTACCTTAACATTATGTTCCAAAAGAACTTAATAAGGGATGGCTAATCTGAAAGCAAAATGTACAAATCACTTTCAAGAAAAGATACGCATCACAAGATTGTGTTGATAACTGATAATAGTTAAAATCCCAAATTGTGACACATGAACTCAGAGTATCAGCCGGTCCTCACCTCCCTCCTGAATTACCTGACCAACAGACGTTTGGCTTTGCTGTTTCAGAAAGCATTGTTTCTTACATTCCATCAACTGTTCAAAATCACGCCACATTTTTGCTTGCTTCATATTTGGACCATGACTTTCACGTACAGATTTTTGTTTTTCCCGGAGTTTCTGTCATTAAGGAAGAAAAAAAAAATTTTTTTTTTCTATTGCTATGGTTAGAAGATTATGACCTATTTTGTACATTTGATGAAAATAGTTAACTAAAGCAGGTTATCCTATGATGTATCAAAACTAAGATTATAAAAGTCAATTAAATTTATGATAGTATGACGATATGAAGTAAACAATGAATAGAACAATACAAAAGAGAGGGTGAAAAGAAAAGAAATGAAGGAAGTCAAGGAAGTGAAACAGTATCATGGTACAGAAGAAAGATTTTAGAAACCTGAAGACTTGAGTTTCAGTCTTGCCTTTGTCACTGCCTGTATGACCTTAAGACACTTAATTTCTTTAGATCTCAGTTTTCTCAACTGTCAATTATGGATAATAACAGGAGAAAATAATAGTGTTTGCTTCTTAAAATTATTTTTTCACATGACAGAATGGATACCAAAGTACTTATAAACTGTTATGTGTTGCATATGCAATTAAACATTGTAAAATATCCTGAAACAGAGTGTGTTCTATATATGCCAAGATACATGAAATTGTATGCATCTATTTTATAGGGAGAAGGCCCAGTGATTTAAAAAAGGCCCACTAGAGTAAGTAGGTCCAAATCCCTATCAGAATGTTTTTGTTCCCAACAGTCTATACAGTTCTGTCTGCCAAAACGGTTCTACTTACTGAGTCTAAAATTACAAAAAGGCGTAAGAAACATTTTCAATGAATATGCACAAGTATACAAGCATTATGGCAAATGGAAGAATAAAGTTAGGGACCATAAAAATAAGATTGGTGGTGGTGTGCCGTGGAGTCGGTTCCGACTCATAGCAACCCTGCATAGGATTTCTGAGGCCATAAATCTTTATGTGAGCAGAAAGCCTCATCTTTCTCCCATGGAACTGCTGGTAGTTTCGAACTACTGTCCTTGAGGTTAGCAGCCCAACTCATAACCACTACGCTACCAGAGCTCCTTAAAAATAAGATTACAGAGACATAAACTGATTAATAGTGAAGAGAGCACATAGAGCAGGCACAAAACACATACACAGATGAGTGTTAGAAAGTCACCAGGAAGTAGTCACCAAGAGGTACAGATAAACCAGCAATGGCAGAGAAGCAGATGATGCAGCAAGGCCCATATCTTTACATCTGTTATTAAGGGACTAATTTTTAATGGCAGCCTAATGGCACAGATAAGGCTTTCTGTTCCCATAAGATTTAAAGCCTCAGAAACCCTACTAGACAGGTGGCTATGAATCGGAACCCAAACAATGGCACTTAACAACAACAACATAGGCACAAATGCGGATGTTGGCCATTGAAGAGGGTAAACTAAGCTGATGCCCATATTAAAATCATTTACTAAAGATTGCCCCTCCCCCCCCAGCAGCTATGGATTCATGGAAGCAAAGTTAACAGCAAACAACAGAAGAAAAGAAAAACATAAATGCAATTAAGAAAATGTAATTTAAACATAAACAGCCAACACTGATGAAATAGTTGGTATGTGAAAACATCTTATTAAATTTGTTACAAGTAAAGGATCTTACATCAAACAATTTGATCTTTTTAATTTAAAACAAAAATATTTAGTGAGGTCATTAAGTCAGACCAAGAATTTAAAAGCTATGAACATGAATTTAAGATTAAGGTACTCCATATACTACAGTTTTTATATTACTGGAATAATTTCCTTGTCAAAATCAAAACACTCTAGAAAAGTTATTTAAAGAAACAAAAAAAAGGATGGGGCACTGTTAGTGTCACAAATAAGAAACTGAATTTGTTTCATACAAATCAGTTGTAGGGGGAAAATCTTTAACTACGAATACAACTTACTTGTTACATGTTGTTAAGTGCTGTCTAGTCGGTTCTGACTCTTAGCGGCCCTGTATAAGGTTTCTGAGGAGTGGCTAGTGAGTTTGAACCACCGACCTTGAGATTCAAACGTCCTTGTGGTCCAGTGCTTACACCAGGACTCCACTTGTTATATAGTATACGCTTCATTTCACTATTCTCTAAAGGAGGGGGTGAGTTTACTAGGGGATAAGTTGAAACTTCTGTACAATATTCCACAGTAGTTGGTACAGCTGCATGTGGAGGTCTGTAGAAATTTGGTCTTTGGTGACATGGAAAGTCTAGGTTCTTAACCCTTTGAAAGGACGGGTTTGTGCTGGTTTTGTCTTACACATTTAGATCTACTCCAAGGGAAGTTAGAGAATCGAGGAGCTGTATTTCTTTTTTTTTTCATGTTTTATTGTGAATTATGTGATCACTTACATGTGAGAATATTAGCTTTACATTCATCCTATCATGTATCGTCTCATTGTCATCACTACAATCCCCTCCATGCATCATCAACCAACCAAAGCGTTGATTGATGCCCATCCCCTGATCATAAGCACACAGCCCCTTTCCCTCTCTGGGTCTAGAGTCCCCAATCGTTCCCTCTCTCCACGTCATCATCTCTGCCTCCATCTCTGGTATCACTGTTTCTCTGTGTAGGGTCCCGCATTCACTCTTCTCCCTTAATGGTCCCATGGGCCTCCGCTCATGGACTGCAAAGTTAACACCACTCCCCTCCTTTTGCTACAAAATGTCTACCTTTACATTTCCAACCCTCACAGTCAGTCCTGATAGCAATTATTCACTGTTTCTTTTTTAAAATAATATTTTATTGTGTTTTCAGTGAAAGTTTACACAGCAGTTTTGGTTCCCATTCAGTTGTTTCTCCACAAGTTATTTAGTGACACCGGCTATTTCCTCACTATGTGTGAACATTCTTATTATTTCTCTTTTGGTTGTTTCATTTGAAACTTTATTTCTTAAAAGATCCAGTGTGACAATCAGAGAATGAGCTAGTTTTGCTGAAATATACATGATGCTCAACTACTGCTACCACTTCTATCAAAGACCTTGTATTAAGACTCTGAAGTGGAAATGAAAAGAGGAAGAAAGTAATCTTTAATTAGATGTAGCAATTAATTTTGGGTCTTTGAAAAGATTCAAAGTTTGATCAATATTTCTGTATACAACATCCATCTGGAATACTTTTTCAAGACAAAAGAAAGTGAGAAATGAAAATTACAGCGAAAAAAACATTACTTAACATATAAAATGAAAATGTATTGACAACCATGTTGTTGTGGTTATGTCAGCCTGTTGGTTCTGACTCACAGCAACCCTGTCTAGAGTTTCTGAGGAGTGGCTGGTGGATTTGAACCACCAACCTTTTGTTTAGCTGTCTAGTACTTCTCCTACAGCAACACACCAAGACTCCATGTGACAACCATATTGTTGTTGTTAAGTGCCACTGAGTTGGTTCTGACCCACTGTGACCCTTACAGGATTTCCGAGGAGTGGCTGGTGGGCTTGAACCACCAACCTTGAGGTTCAAATCGAACTTGAAATCCAGTGTATTAACCCACAGCACCACACCAGGACTTTTGACAACCATATGTAGTCCCCAAAACTCAAAAATATGTAGCTAAAATACTACCAATTGAATGTTTATAACTTGATTCAAATGCATGCTCTTAAGCATGCACATTATTTTTATCTTTCCTTCTGAGTAGGCGTATCATCGTCCCATAAATGGAATAAAGCTCAGAAAACTCAAAATTTCTCTGGTAAGTGGAGAAACCAGCCTTGAGAAGGTTTCTTTTCAAATTTATTTATCCTTGTTAATATGAAAGACATTTATTCTCAAATTAAACAGTTAGATGAATGCTTTATGGTGAAATGGTGACTGACTCCAGGTTTGGGCAGGAAATGTACGGAATAAACCTGGAACATCAGGAAGTTACCAACTCTACCTACTATGGCTATTTCCAAAAGATTCAGGAGCCGACTAGAGGAGGCGTCCACTAGCCCAACCTGGGGCAATTTAAACACAGATAGGAATAATAACTGTAACAGATTAAAAAAAAAAAAAAAAAAGTCTGGGAGGCATAAAGATACTTTTGAAGGATGACAGGAAACAATCCATTCTTTTGAAAACCAGTAAATAAGTGAGTCAGGCATTAATTCTATCTTTCATATATGTGAACCTCAGAGAAACTATATGATTGAGGGAGAAGTTGCTCTTTATAAAATTATTCCAGTTATTAAATGAAGAAGGAATGATACAAATAGAATATTATCTAATGAACTGCTGGATATCAATGTCTGCCTACGATAAGCACACGCCACTATGAAGTATTCCTGCCACAATGAAGCCACATTTAATCAAACCTTTAGATCTATCTACTAACAAACAGGATACATGGGGTACGGTTATTGTTAATGTCACAGAGTCGGTTCCAACTCATAATGGCTCTGTATAGGGTTTCCGAGGCTGATATTCTTTACGACAGCAGGCAGCTTTATCTTTTTCCAGGGGAGCAGCTGGTGAGCTCAAACCTCAGACCTTCTGGTTAGCAGTCTACTGCTTATCCTACAGAGTCATAAGAGGAACATGATAATTGATGCCACAAAGATGCTATCAGCAAAGTTCAGAAAGTAAGAGAACAAACAAGCTAAATGACCAGTTTTGTTTTTTTCTCCCAATAAATAAATTCTAAAGAAAACAAACAAAAAGTAGGAGGGGTATGGTAGTGAAAAAGAACCTTATGAAACATATAGCAATGTATGAACTCTTACCAGGATGCTGACTGGAACAAATACATTAGTAAAAAATTACGAGGCAATTGGTAACATCGGAGCACTGACTGGACCCTGAGTTTTGTTGTTGTGTGCTGCTGAGTTGGTACAAGCAGCTTTAAGGTATATATAATCATTTGCAGGTTGCAGAATCAAGACTATTAGAATAGTGAAATTATATACCTGTAGTTAAGTCAGAATTTTATAAAAGAAATAGTGCAGCTGAATCATCCCTAATTATGATACTTAGAAACCTGACACTGTCATTAGAAAAATGAATAAGAAAACGAACTTTTCAATGGTGAAACTAAACAAGGAACAGATGAAATGGTACATATCGTGAAGCTGTGTTAGCCTGCACT